TCGATATAACAAATTAAATTAAAAGAATTTTAATTTTGAAAATGATTTTTCTAAGCATATTCAATATATTAAATTGAATATCAAAATATTACTCGAAGTATTTCAAAGTTCATTTTATATCCTTACTAAAGTGTAAAACTAAGTTTTAATCTTAAAATAATTTCAAAACAATTTTACAAAGTATTTCAAACCGTTGCAAAGCCAAAAATTACAGTTTGTCCAGAGGGAACCGATTCCCCCCCAAGGGGGTACCGATTCCCCCTGAATGGTTTGGCTCCGAGAAATTCCAGTATGCTCGGAGGGAACCGATTCCCCCCAGGGGGTATCGATTCCCCCACTGTTCAACGGTCGAATATTTGAATTTTACACTTAGGGAACCGATTCCCCATGAGGGGGTACCGATTCCCCCACGCTCCAAGCAGAAATATTAATTGTTTTCACACTTAAATGACTCCAATAACTTCATTAATGATCCCCAACGTTCAGAAGTGATTCAAGGTGTATTTAAACAAGCTTAGAAGCCATTGATCAATAACAAGAAACATCAAGCAACTAGAATCAAGAGAGAATCAAAGAGAAAGCATCAAATCTCAAGTTTGTGCATTTCAAGCCTATTTTTCATTCAATATTTATTTTGCTTTCAAGAACACTACTTGTACTCAATTGTATTCATTCTTGAGTGTTCTTTTATTTGTTTTAGAATTGTGCAAACAATCTACCTTGTGAGGATTTCCTTGTAAGTTTTTAAATTTGTAATATTCTCTTTGGGAAAGAGTGTTCTCAAGAATTGGGGTATATTCTTGAGAGTGTTGTAAGGTTATCTCTTTGGCCTCAAAAGAAAGAACAAATTAGTGAATTTGTTGGAAAATCCTTAGTGTGGATAGCTAAGGTAGTGGACGTAGACTTTGATTGAGAAAGTCGAACTACTCTAAATCGCTGTGCAGTTACTTTCAATTTTCTGCAAAAGCTTCCACAAAACTTTAATTGCCAATTCACCCCCCTCTTGGCCGATTCTGTCAATTGATTAACTCAATACATACCTTCAGTTCTCAACAGTGTACATGGGCTAATAAAGAAATTTAATAAGTATACTGAATATGATATGTATATGTGATTTGTTATATGGAATAAATCACCGGATTTATGTAATGGTGTATTGCTTGGTTAATGCATAATATATTATGTATAAGGGTATTAAATTATAAGGATTAATGATAATGAATGTGAAATGTTAAACGTGTTGATAATGGTATATGTGTTACATGATCTGTATAGAAATTTCATGATGATATGTTTATTCCTTGGTATAGTGATATATGTGTTATATGATAAATATATGGTAAGTAAAAGGGATTAATGATAATATTTGCATATGTATGCCTTTTGTTTATATGAAATGATATATGTTTTATATGGCTCACTAAGTCATCGAATTAGCGTGTGATTGTTTCACACGTAGGTTTGGAAAGCGAAAAAGAGAAGATTGACAAAAGTTATGCAAGACATGTCAGTTTCTCTTTTCCAAATATCAGATCAGAAATTAAAGAAATGTATAGTATGTATTTTGTAATAAGGATAGTGGTTGACATGTAAATAAATTATTAAATCCGATATGTTCTAATCGGTTTTGAAAAGTCATACGATTGAGTTTTGTAATGTTAATGTTTCAAATGTATATATGTAAATGGTAGTTTTATACAGATGAAAACGTAGATTTTTATGAATTTATACGTATTTTTCGAAAGTACTATAGCAGTACTGTAGCAGGGAATCGGTACCCTGTAGCAAGGGAATCGGTTCCCCTCAAGCAATCTGGAAAATTTTAACATTTAGTGTTGTTCACGGTACTGTTCACTATTGTTCATGGTATCATTCATTACTGTTCATATGATATTGTTCATTGTTCATACCATATTTTAATGTTCATTAAACGTATATTTTCTTAAATTGGTTATAACAAACATGATTCAACAATATATTATCGTATTTTCTTGAAAAGAGTTCAAATGTTTTGATATTTTGTAAGAATGTCGTTTTTAAAAGTCAATGTGACATCTCGAACTCGTATTCGGGTCGGATACGGGTTGGGGTGTTACAGTCCTATACCTATTTTACATTATTATATATATAAATAAAAATTAATCGATTTAGAATTTAAATTATAATTTGAAGACATTTTATTAACTAATCCATATGTGCTTCAAATTATTTATTTGACCTAATTAAAAAATAACCCTTTATTTGACCATTTAAAAAAAACAACTTTCATGTGAACACACTTTAAATATTTTAACTATTTAAATAATATTGTATTAACATGAATTAAGCGACCTTAGTGATTAAGGAATTTGTTATTATCCCTGAGGTTCTATATCCGAGCACCGTATATGTAAAAGACATGAACTTTTATTGACAAATAATTAAGAGTCTTTAAATATATGTTGACTTATATACACCCTAGATTTAAAATTAAAGTTCAATTTAAATTTTCAACAATAATTTAAGAATGTTTGGTGTGATTAAACCAAATCCTTTTAAAAGAAGTCAACCCTTATGTGCACATATTATGAAAAGTCAATCTAATCTAAACATCTACCTGAATAAAAATATAACAAATGACCAATGAACAAATACAAAGATAACATACCAAGAAATTTACACCAACTTTGAAGACAAAACGAGGTTTCACAGTAACAAAACAGTTCCTTATATAAAAAAATATTAAATAAAACCAAAATCCCAATTAACTAATAAAAAATATATATAAATCTCAAAGGATCTAAATTTATAAATTAAATTTATAAATTAAATTTATAAATGACCATTGATTATTTGAAATCTAAATTTAGCTTGGACCGATAAAGTAGTTCTTTCTTCTTAAATGTTTGACTACCAATGGTGAGAACAACTTTTCCAGGGTTACCGGTTTCGAACCTACCGGAAATCACTGTTTCATCGGCGGAGGAGACTTTTCTCGTTTCCGATATGATGACGTCATACACATCTTCAGCAGTCGGCACGAATTCAGCTCCGTATTTGACATCCCATCCCACTACTCGGAGCTCCCAAACCAGACTAGACTTCTGCAAATGCAAAGCCAAATACAGTTTCATATATTGTTATTACATGAATGGTACATTGAATTAAAGTTTACTCAAATGATACAAATGTCCTTATCATACCTTGTTTATGGGGAATCCGATGGTGTGCTTGGTTTTTGGTTTGATTGTAACACCGGTGACATCATCGACCACGGTAAATTCTTCTTCACCTTCTCTGTTCAGTCCACCGTATTGAACTGGTACTTGTTCAGGAGCAGTATATCTATGTTTTATTGAAAGAAATGAGTTATATCAATTACTAGACACAAGATCATTCATATTAATCAAACAAGCAGATTTAAACAAGAGAATGGATAATGATTGAAAATCCAGTTACTTGATAAGGGTCTCAGCAGATTTGGATGGACTTGCAAATACAAACTTGCTCTTCATTCTCTCAGGAAAGGACTGATCATCCTAATGAAAGCCAAGTACCACCATGGAACATTGATGAACACCTTCAAAATCCAAAACCCAACATCGATATTAGTTCAAATTTTAACAAACAATGAAAATTTATATCATTAAAGCATACTTGTTTGGCCACAAATTCGGGATAATTATCCTGAAGCAAGTTAAGGGCTTGACTGCTAGCTTGTCTGAACTCCATTTTGGAGGATGCAGGTAAATTCTTGAGGTCGATGACTTGAACAAATGTATTGATACCATTAGGAGTGAAGTCAAATTTACGGATGCTCTTTTCCAAGAACTGAATCCTCCATCTCAAGAACTTGGATCGTTTTTCTTCATCAGCGAAAGTGTTTTGATACAGCACGTTGTAACAGACAGGATGACATTCTTTATCGAATCCGTGCATGAAAACCACTCTAATTTATTTCCTAAATCTTCATCAAGCAAGGATTCGATTCCAATTTCTTTTCGCCAGCAAACAGTGTTTTTTTATCATAGTGAATGCATCATTTGCTTTGAAATTTCTTGCTCTCAAAAATTTCAACAATATCACATTGCTTTTCTCGTCTGCCAAGAGTGGGATTCCCCATATAGACACCTCCTCCAGTGGTGGTGGAACTTCTGCCTCTTTTGACTTTTCAGCTTGAGGAGCCACTTTCTCTTCTTTCTTTTGTTCTTTTTTTCTCAGCTACTGGTTTTTCTTCTTCTTTGGCAGTGAATTCGTGCTTATTAAGGGCATCCTGGATAAGCTGTTTAAGCTCATCAAGAGCCTTCTTTTCATCCACGGAAAGTTCAGCAACAACATTAGTTCCCTCTTTGAAAGAACCAGACTTAATAATCTTACTTTCTTCAACCTTGGCCTTCTCAACTTTAACAACTTCTAGCTTTTGGGCCTCAGCCATGAATATTAGATAATGACGATGAATGTAAGCGAAAATGCCGGGGGGGGGGGCGCTTTAAAAATGGAAGGAATATACAGAAACAGAGTGCAGAGTCGAATGACACGGCGAATTGATTTGGCAAGTTTATATATATATATTCCGAACTTGCCTTTAATTTGTAGGCCGTGTCTAATGTTCATCTTTTTTGCAGTCTATAACACCTAATACTGCCATAAGATCACGCAAACCTGACTCGAACATAAATACAAAATTTTTAGTAGAAGTCATCTGAATTCCTTGCTTAGCATATATACATATCAACATAATGCAAATGCAATAATGTATGGAAATTTATATAACACGAATATCTGTATACTGCATTACTACTTGCATTGTCAACGCGAGAATACAGCTTAAAATGTTTTTTTTAAGAAAAAAGAACAAAAGGAAAAGATAATTAAGCCCAAGCGAAAACATAAATAAACTTTTTATGCCATTACCAATGCAGATTTGCAATTTTACAATTTAAGCAACATTCAAGTAGGAACTCACTTTAGAACGTACTATTTTGCCTTCACAACAAGCCATGTCATGGTGAGACTAAGAATCGAATGACACCTTTTAAAGATGATTGCAGAGGCAACTGATGTAAGCCTGAGTTCTTCAATCTATAAGGTGGCTCCCCGGGCATAGATGTACGATTTTGTAGAACATAAAAAGAGAGCCAGTCCAATGGCACTAAGTACAGCAAGCAGCCAATAAAAGTAATCAAGATGTGCCCTATTCAGATTATTCGCAAACCAGCTATCCCGACCATCCCCAGCGGTCATCTTCTCAATGGCTGAGATCAGAAAGCTACTCAAAAAGCTTCCAACTCCAAAGATGCTAAGGTAGAGTGCAAGGCCCACACTCCTTAATTCTTTAGGCACCTGATGATAAAAAAATTCTTGAAGACCAACCATTGCAAATACATCGGACAATCCAGACAGTATGTATTGAGGGACCAACCACCACACACTCATCGGAACTGTCACGTTTGGCTTGTCTACCAACCCGCATTCTTGAGCAGTTCTAAGTCTCATCATCTCTACTAAAGCAGCAGTTAACATTGATAAGGCAGATAGAAGCATTCCGGTTCCAATTCTTTGTAGCATTGTAATTCCGCCTGGAATCCCAGTCAACGCTCTTGCTAAAGGAACAAAAATGCGGTCATATATAGGAATGAAGATCATAATTGTAAGGCTAATAAATGACAGAAGTGAAGCAGCAGGTATTTGGAACCCTGTTGTAATTGATCTGTCCATGGTAGCCCCTTGCTTGGTAAAGAATGTCGTTGTTTGCGCATAGACAATTGCATAAAACAAGCTTGAAGCCCATATTGGTGCAAGCCTTATTACTGTCTTCGCTTCTTCAACCTCTCCGATGCTACACACCTTTCCTTGTTCCTTTGAACCATCAGGAGCAAGCAAGGCTTTATTGAGGAACCTATACATTAGAAAAACCATACCACCATTTAAGAGATGTTCGTTGTAGAAAATGTGAATAGGAACACTATTTTCCTAAACCAAAATAAGGGTAACAACTCAAATGACTCAGTTAAGTTCTAAACATTGTAATAGTTGGAAATAAAAAAACGAAATGAGTAAGAGCTCCAAATCATTTAGAAATCATAATAGATGCCCCAATCAAGCTATTAAAGATTGACAAAAGAAACTACATGCCCAGTACACTTATGAGCATGAGTTTATCACATGCTTTGTATGACTGAGAGATTATGGTGGCACTATATTTTACAAGATACATACATGCACATGTGCCGGCTTATAGCCTCATTTAGATAATAACTGGAATTTATGTAAGATGCCATTAAAACAGAAAAGTGAACAGCATGATTACTTTTCAAAAAATTTCAGTTTGTTTACTAAAGGAAACTTTGTTTAAGGCTAGAGATATGGAACTTCACTAAAGCTCTTCTTATCCCTTTTATATGGTCCTAGTTTTCATTATGCAAAAAATATCTCACTTGAATTGCTTGGAACATCGAGTAGGAAGCATTCCCCGGGCCTCTTCCTCCGCAGCAATTGCAGAAGATGCTGTTTTCCGGTTCTTAACAGCCAAAATAAACACTCGCCTAATTCTCACAAATGGACTTTCTTCATCCCCTCTGGTACTATATCTGTAAGTAGTCGTTCCAAGCAGAAAAACAACCAGCCCAGCAACCATTACAATAGTGGGTATCCCAAATCCAAGAACCCAACTAAGATTGTCTTGGATGTAGGTTAAAATCCAAAGGGTTATGAAGGTGCCAGCACATATACCAAAGTACCACCAATTGAAGAAAGAACTCTGGGCTTTGCACTCCTCCGGATCTTGTCTATCAAATTGATCTGCACCAAAAGCTTGAACACACGGCTTGTGCCCACCTTGTCCAACTGCTACTAGATACAGTGAGAAGAAGAATAGTATCACTTGAAACCGAAGAGAAGGAAGAGCAGCTGACAGAGTCAACAAGCCAAGACCCTGTAAAGCGTTCCAAATCAAGTCAGCACGGAAAACATCTAGCAAGCACTTAGCACTCTTATCAATTACTAAAACAATTAAAATAGTCTTGAACATCAAGTACTCTAATCATTCCAATGTGTTCCGAGGTTAAATATCATCCTGTGGTAAGCCAATCCCTGATGGCCAACCAGCCAAAGAAAAATCCCCATAGAGAAAGCACACAAATAGGTTTAAACCATGGATTCTTGCATTATCAACCCTATACTGCATCAAATTGGCAGAAAAAATCAAACTTAAGATTCATGAATCAGTGTTTGGACCGACACCAAACATTCAAACACACAAAGCAGCAGGCTACTTTATCATATAACAATGACTGAACCAACAGCAAAGTTTATCCAGCAGCTTTCTAAAACTACTCTTCATTTCCTCTAACTTCAGTCACAATGAAAGCCAAAGGCAACTTAACTGGAATTCAATGCCCATTCTTTAGACCAAAGGTACAAAACCAGTCAATTATTATAAAAAAATCTAAGTATCCTCCATTTCCAAAGTCGATAACATTCAGAAAAATGATGCCCAGAGTGAAGAAAGATTTGCATTTTAATTATATTTATACTAAAATATGTTTCACCAAAATTCCAGGCACTGCAGAACTATCTTAATAAACATTCTAAGAAGAAATCAAGTTGAACCTTTTTAAGGTGAAATATTAGTGCCTTTTTTTTCTAGTTTCAATTGAAAAGAAAGGAAACGCGTTTTACCAAAACGTAAAGAAGGGAAGCAAGAATGATGGTGCGGAATCGGCCAAGAAAGGAATCAGCAATGAATGCACCCAAAAGAGGCAGAAGCGCCGCCGCCCCAGACCATGCGTTAACTTGTGCAGCGGCGGCGGCAGTGGACTCGCCGAGAGGCCCCGTCAAGTAAGTAATAAGGTTTGAAGAGATTCCATAATAAGCAAACCTCTCAGCAATTTCAACGGCGATGATGAAAGAAGCAGATCGCCAACCGCCAGAGTTTGAGCGGCGGACAGGGCGGCCTTTGTAGTCAACGCAGGCATCAACGGTGTCATGTAATAGTGGAGTTTGAGCAGCCAAGAGATTGGTGTCTGCCATTGGTTTGGCAAATGCCTTGCAGTTTGGATGCACTTATCTAATCTTATCAATAAATGACAAATACATTCATGTCAACTTTTTTACGATAATAATACTTATTTCTTATCTTATTACAAAATAGCATCTAACAACATTACTTTTAGAAATAATATCTATTTCAGTTACATAGATTAAAGATTTTTTTTATAGTATGATTGATTATAAAGTATCTATTAATAATATTTTTTAATCATTGATAATGTATATACATCATGTAAGCGTAAATGTTCGAACCTAAATTTTAATAGATAAGAACGCTATATTTAAACATTGAAATCATTAAATGGATTTTAAGTTTGAAACATTATTAATTTTTGAATAATAAAGGTATGGTTAGTTAAGGACGCATTACCTTATTGTTATATCATATATGTGCTTAAAAATTAAATTAAAATAAATATAATAAATACGAGTTAAAATTTAATGTTAAATAAAAATATAATTAAATTTTATAAAATTAAGTTCATAGTTTAAGCTTTTTAAATGAGGGTGTAGGATTTTAGGATATTTAATGTTTTTTCGAAAAGTTGTTTTATTAAGTTAAATGTGATTGACTCAACCATTTGATAATGAATGTCCAATCATTCTTGCATTCGTTGATGTTCGAATCTATGACCTCTTGAAATAACAATGATTCCTTTAACCGTTGAGATATTTTTTTTAATATTTTAAGTGATTACAATATATTATAAGATTTATTTAATTATTGTTGAAAACATTTTGATATTTCGATATAACAAATTAAGTTAAATGAATTTTAAGATTTTCCAAGTATATTCGATATAATTATTCAAATATCAAAATATTACTCCAAATCTTTCAAATGTCATTTTTAATCCTTACTCAAGTGTAAAATTAAGTTTTAATCTTAAAATAATTTCAAAACAATTTTACAAAATATTTCGAACCATTTCAAAGCCAAAAATTCCATATTGCTTAGAGGGAACCGATTCTCCCCCAAGGGGGTACCGATTCCCCCCTGAATGGTTTGGCTCCGAGAAAAACATAATGCTCGGAGGGAACCGATTCCCCCCTAATGGGGTACCGATTCCCCCTGTTTAACGGTCGAAATATTTGAATTTTACACTTAGGGAACCGATTTCTCATGAGGGGGTACTGATTCCCCCCACGCTCCAAGCTGTTTTATTAATTGATTTCACACTAAAACGGCTCTATTGACTCCATTAATCATCTCCAACGTTTAGAATCATTTGAATGTGTATTTAAACAAGCTTAGAAGCCATTGATCAATAACAAGAAACAACAATCAACAAGAATCAAGAGAGAAATCATTAAACCTCAAGTTTGAGCATTTTCAAGCTTATTTCATTCAATGTTCATTTTTGCTTTCAAGAACACTTATTGTGCTCAATTGTATTATTCTTGAGTGTTCTTTTTTTGTTCTAGAATTGTGCAAACATCTTGCCTTGTGAGGATTTTCTTGTAAGTTTGCAAAATTTATATTATTCTCTTTGGGAGAGAGTGTTCTCAAGAATTTGGGGTATAATTCTTGAGGTATTTGTAAGGTTACTCTTTGTCGACAAAAGAAAGACAAATTAGTGAATTTGTGGAAAATCCTTAGTGTTGATAGCTAAGGTAGTGGACGCAGACTTTGGTTGAGAAAGTCGAACCACTCTAAATCGTTGTGCAAATCTTTTCAATTTTCTGCAAAGCTTCCACCGAAATTTGTATTTGCCAATTCACCCCCCTCTTGGCCAACTCCATCGATCGATTAACTCAACAATTGGTACCAGAGCCTCACTCATTTGAAGGTTTAATTGTCTCTTGAGTCAATTTGGGAAGAGTTACATCGATTTTTAAGTCATCAATGGTCGGCGCTTCAAACTCCGACTTCGGTCTCGATTCGATGCCCGTCAACAAGCCTCATTTCTTCAATGGAGCTAACTATGCCTATTGAAAGAATAGGATGATGTATTTCATTCAAGCAAGTGACATGGGAGCATGGAACGTTGTAGAAGACGGATATATCAAGCCTCTCACTCATCAAAGATTGTGGAGTGAATGAGAGACAAGAATGTTCCAGCTCAACTCCAAAGCCATCCATATCATATTTTATGCTCTTGGACCAGATGAATATGGAAGAGTTTCATCTTGTACAACCGCCAAAGAAATATGAGATAAACTACAAGTCACTCATGAAGGCACCGACGAGATAAAAGAATCTAAAATTAGTCTTCTAACACATAGATATGAAAATTTTAGGATGAAACTGTCGAAACGATTTTTTCTAAAAAGGTGAGATTTTGAAAAACCACATTAATTTTTAATTTACCTTTTTAATTAAAAAAACAAATGCGATTTAAAAACCTCTCGTTTCGAAAATTTTGAAATTCTCTTTTCATTAAAAACATATTGTTCAAAGAGTCGCCACCAATCTTTGATTAGGGTGTGATTGGGCACCCAAAAATGTTTGTTATTTTAAATAAAAATTAATTTCAATTAAAATAACAAATTAAGGTTTGCATTACCAAAATCTGAGTTCGGGGGTCGGTTACGTACAGGGAAGGATTAGCACCCTCACAACGCCCTAAAACGGTACCTAGTCGATTAATTAATGTCTTTACAATGAACTTTGCAAATTCTAATTTAATTTGATTTTTGATCCCATAAAACAAAGATGTAAATTTAAAAACATTCAAAAGCACTCAAATAAATTAAATTAAAATTACCAAGTCGTTTTAGAAAGATAAAGAATGTTCGATTATTTACAAATATCGAGACCAGATCTTAAAAGTTATAACAACCTTTTCTCGATAAATTTAAATAAACGAACATTTCCTTTTCTTTCGTTCCCAAATTTTAGGTGATGAATCAATTTTTTTGTTTCACTTTTGGGATACACTTTTAATTTAAAATGGTCAAAACGGCCCTCTAATCAGTTAAGACAAGCCACTTAAGACAATTTTAAATTAAAAGGGTATTACCCTTAGTCCGATTATGTAATATGTCGAGTTATGCAAATGAGGTTACCATGCAATTCATGTAAAAATGTCATATGATCTCATATAAATTAAAGATTACACAAAGAGCTATCATGCAAAGTAACAAATTCATACAAAAATTATATACACCTATTAATAATATAATATATAAGTTAAACACATGTAATATAGGATACATAGAAATAGGGTATAATATAATAGCTAAAGCATATTCAATATAAATATGTATATAATACTTACGAACAATTGTTCAAATAAAAACATGCATTACATAATAATTAAAACATATTCAATGTAAACACATATAACACTAACGAACTAATGTTCAAATAATATAAAAAACACAGCTCCGTAATTTAAACGTGAAAACATGCAATTTCCGAGGGACTGAAATTCTGATTTTACTAAACAAATTTGATGGCCAAAAATTAATTATCCCAACAATTTTAACATAGAATCTAATTATGTTGAACTATGTTTTGATATAACAATTTAAGGCAAAATGTTTTTGGACTTGAATTGAATTTACAAAATGTTTTTGGATTTGAATTGAATTTATTCAAAGTTTTAAAAGGTTTCAAAAATAATTCAAAGTCCATTAAAATCGGATTTGAGCAAAAATGCTAAAGGGTGTCAAAGTGCATCCATGCATCCCTGCAGTGCATCCATGCATCCCTGCAGTGCATCCATGCATCTGCACTAATGCATCGATGCATCAGGCAATGCATCCAAACATCGAATGCAATTAGTGCATCGATATATCCTTGCCATGTATCGATGCATCCTGCCATGCATCCATGCATCAAGGCTGCAACGGCTAGTAACGGCTAGTTTATTTGAATTTAATGAAGGGGCATCGATGCACCTTGATCATGCATCGATGCATCATGTTATGGGCAGCCTTTTTGAGTAGAAAAATCATACCCAAACAACTCCAAAACATCCCCAACGGCTATATACAACATCAAACACATTCCAAGCTATAAATACAAGCTGAGGACACTTGAAGAAGCAAGAGAACAACTATCCAAGCAATCAAACACAAGAGAAGAGTTTTTCAATCTTATTTCATCTTTCTCTTGTAAATATTTTGTTCTTGTGAGCTCAATCTTGTAAACACATACCTTAGAGAGGTTTTCTTGTTTACATTTCTTATCCTTTTGTAAAGGGGAAAGGTTCTAGCTAATCCCGTGTAAAAGCTAGGGAAAGGTTCTAGTTTATCCCGGAAAAACTAGGGAGTTTGTAAGGTTACTCTTTATCCTCAAAAGAAAGAACAAATTAGTGAATTTGTTGGAAAATCCTTGGTGAGGAGCTAAGGTAATTGAGAAAGTCAAACCACTATAAATCGCTGTGCAATTATCTATCTTTCAATCTCCTTACTCCCTAAACACAAAACCGTTCCGACCCCTATTTGCAAACCGTTCCGATTATCGATTCGAGCTTCCGAAAATCCCAACAATTGGCATCAGAGCCTAACTCGTTAAGAAGGTTTAACCACCTTGAGACGATCCTAGAAGAAGCTCTACCAATTCCTGACACAACCGAGAAGATGATTTCCACCTCCGGCTCGTTCCACATGGAAGATTCCCTACCAACGGACAAGCCTCCATACTTCAATGGAGACAACTATCATCATTGGAAGAAATTAATGAAGGTATTCATCCAATCCAATGATCTTGATGTATGGGAGATAATCGAGAATGGCTACTCTTTTCCAAAGAAGAAGGAGAAGAAACGGAGTGACAAAGAATGGAAGAAAGCTCAACTTAATGCCAATGCCATGCACATGTTGTTTTGTGCATTTGGTCCTGAAATCTATGAAGGGGTTTCTTCATGTTCAAGTGCCAAAGAGCTTTGGAATAAGCTCGAGGAAATCCATGGAAACAAGAAAGAAGAACCAACAAATGTGGTGTCTCTAATGGCTTATGAAGAGCCCGAGGTATCTTCTAACTCAAATGAATTTAATTCATATACGTTTGATGAGTTACAAGATGCTTTTAATAGGTTATATTCGGAGTTTGAGACCATGAAC